AAGAGTGAGTGAATTCCAAATAGCGAAAGCTTATTGAACGGACGGATTTCGTCAAGGAAGAAATATTTATCGATACATCTTGGAAATATTTGATGAATATCTGCGAGATATCGTCTGATTTGCCGCTATGCAATCGATCGTTTGCTTCAATAAGGATTATCTTTTCATTCTCTCGTTCTTTCCTGTCTTTTCTTTTTGTTTCTATATCTTTTCACTTTCTTTTTTGAAAGAAAAACTTGTACAGTTATCGCACAATAACTAGAAATATTTCACGTTAGTTGAAATTTTTTAAAAAATGACGAAACGTTGTGAAGTAAAAAATCTGAATAAGAAAGAAAAAAATTATACAATTCTAATGAACCAGATATTCGTTCATGATTACGAATAAATAATGTTTTCACTCACTCGTCTTTCTTCCATTCGCACAGCATACATGTTATAATTGAGTGTCGATCCTTAAACGGGGATGATCCTTGTTGATTTGCAAGACAGAACGATGTTCCACCGCGCGTGTCCTAAATGAGAATCAGCTGTTAGCGATGATATGCGTGATAATACATTGACGGATTTATTGGGATTGTAAATATTGATGTTGAACACTTTGCTATTTTTTTGCGCGAGGCTTTATTTATTCGTTATTATATCTGAATTGAACGTGTCAAAGTTATTTTTATTTTATGTTAGTTTTTCTATCCCTTTCCCTCTCTTTTCAAATTTCAAATGATTGATAATTATGGTATTATTTGCAGTTGTTAATTTTTCACAAAGAAAAGCTGCAGCTAACTCTACTTGCTAAACCAAGAATATTAAAGAAATATCCTTTATAATCAACTCGTGCAAAAGTAGCGAGGTGTTAAGAGTCAATAAAAAGTTAATATATTGCTTTGTAAGGAATACGACAGTATGGCTATAGATTGTTTTAGACAGAATAGAGAAAGAAAGATTAGAGAAGAGAAGAGATTTTGTAAGCCTGACGAGACTTTGTGAAGATAGAATCTTGATAACAAAAAAAAAAAAAAAAAAAAAAAAAAAAAAAAATCGAAGATTGTATTCTTAGATTCTTTCTTCGCACTATTTCGTCGTCCTAGATATTTCATACTTATTACGTTCCTCATTCGAAGGAACGTAAATATTCATCGCCGAATATTCTTGGCCCGTAAATTGATCGCCAAACTGATTCGTTGCAGAGGATAATTTGGCAATTAATTTTGGAAGTTTAATTTATAGCTATGTCCAATGAAAATTTTTAAGTAGATTATTATATAATAGCAAAAACTCCCCGCGATGCGATTCGATTCGCTCGATTCGGGATAGATAGATGGAAAATTGCATACTTGTATTATATTAGAACTATATCCTTACATATAAATGCGCAAGCTGTTGTAAGTCTCTTTTCTAAGTAAAATAGTAGTCTTATTATGTTAATTAAGATTTAAGAGTCGTTTTTCCTGACTCCAAGTACATTATGCATTTAATAATGCCTTATTTCCGGCTGTGTTTTAATTGATATGTTCTCTTTCATTTCCTTTTACATCGTCAGCATGGGGATGTCATAGAGAAATGTCACACACATATTCATATTTTTTCACATAATAATTTAACATTCTTAAATCCTCCAGTTTTGACAACTTACTTCATCAAAGTTAATTTTATCGATGCTATATTTTGTTAGTGATTGTTCCGCGAGATAAATCCATCAAATATCTCTACAACGAAACGATCGATTTAAATAAGAGGAAACAAACGCATACACATACACATTCACAAACGCAGTGAAATATCTGCTAAATGATATTTATATTCGTTTTATTATCCTGTAAATAGTTCTCTACCTGCATAATGTAGTAAATAAATATAATACACTATTATGTAAGTTATAAAGTAAGTTAGTATATAAAGAATGATAGAGTAATATTGATATTATCAACAGACTGTAAATAAAATTATTTTGTATGCCAAAAGAAACCAAATGAGAGTAAATTACTTCGATGCACGGTATCACGCATAGTTGAATGCGTACAAGAGACGCGTATATATGCACGTATACACACTCGCGTGCACACACGAATCGAATGCTCTTCAAAGCTGTATAGTTACGCGCAATTACCTGCAAAATCAATGTATATGTGCGCGATGATTTGTGTCGATCGATGATACGTGCCGATTATACTTTGTTAAGCGGTATACGATATATTATAGTATATTAAAACGCATTCGTTCGGTCGACGATCGTTCAACCATATTTTTTTTTAAATAACGGTCGACTTAAGTTAAGCCTGACTTAAATGTCAATTATATAAAAAGTTAAGTGTAAAATTATATTACGTGCGCATTGTATCCAGCAACAAGATAAGAGAAAGAGATATGTTAAACTATTGCGTTTTTTATATGTATATATAAGAAGCATTTTTTTATTATCGAGAGGTTTATGTATTGAAAGCCGAAAAGAATCCAATGTTAGATTGATTATCGTCGATAAATATTGGATGAATTTTCATTAGGATGTTTTCTTTTCGCTCTATCGTGAATGATTCACACGCGTAACTGCATGTCTTATTCCGCCTCTTTTTTTGTTCTTTTTTAATATGCAAATATTTGTGTTCCTCAATCGACATACGCGGAATGCGTACGACGAATCGTATCTATCGACAATATATGATCTGAGAACGAGGTAATGCAAAGATGCATTATTGCGACAATGTCCTTCGTCGTACGATGAACAGATCGTCAAACGACGATCGAATAACCGGCGCGATAAAATAGCAATGCTGCGTTTCGCATAATATGGCGGAAATATTTTTAATTCTTATTATGGTAGAGAATATAGCGAACGATAAGTCTATTTTATCGCGCCGATGCAATATATTTTGGCGAAAGTTATCGAGAGAAGAAGAGAAAAGAGAGTACGATAGAACTAGACTATATTTTTTTTATCAATTTTCTTTCGTTAATAACACTTTTCGTTATCCTCTCGGTTGCTTAGACATTTATAGTTAATTAATTTTGCTAGTATATGTAATTATCACAATTATGGGATTAATACGAGCTATTGTATGAAGCGTTACATGCAACTCATGATAAAGATAATATAATATTATATAATGTTATATTATATAATATTATAATTATATATATATAATTTTTTTCATTTTCTCGTTTCTTTCTCGCATTATTGTGTATAAAAAACTTCATCCAATGGCTCGTATCTAAAACCATAAAGTAACGAGGACATTGTCCAAATATTAAATTGCGAGTGCGTTAATGAAACGGACGGCTAATTGCGCCCTTAGGAGGAATGGGCGACTAGTGAAAGTTGATAGAAATCTTGTCCACAATACTGTACATAATAACTATAGTTATAAGGACTTAGAGAAAAAAAAAAAAAATAATAACAACCGATGTGCACAGCGAGAGGAAAGAATGTAACTCATTATTACCGCTCGTCGTAAGCCGTGTGCGTTTTGCGATTTGCCGCGAGTGTCCTCGATCACGGCGAAACAAACTTTTTCATTTTATTCGCGCGAGACATTATTATTACTATTATACAATGTACGCTAATAATACACAAGCGTGATATTTTCTTTCAGATTTACCTGAGAACCATAATAGAACCGCCGTCATTTCGGTTTATTTTTACCTTTTACTTCCGAGTTACGATTCGCGTCTCCAAACTGCGGACATGATTCAAATTTGAATTTTTGGCGCGATCGAGGACCCGGCTGAACCGAGCCGAGTTTGCCTAGTTTAAGGCGGCGTTCAAAAAAGTTATCCTCAATAAAGAGAGAAACAAAGGATCATTAAAGCATATTATCGAAGGCTTTTTTCATCACCTGTGTCCTCTCCTGTACATACATACATATTCATCTTTAATTATGCCACTTACATATTTTATTTATATGGAATTGATCGCGCGATTTTAAATCTCGAGGATACAAGATGCACATGCGCACATTAGTGACGGATTTATAGGCGGGTTTCATGTATACAATTTCTTTTAGATAAAAAAATTCCTCTTTTTAATACATTAAAATGTATTAATATCATATTATATCATATCATTGTAAATGATTGATTTCGCATGTAATCGTTGAAATTAATTTTGTTTTATAATTAATTTGATATTTCGAGATTTTTGTGTGTATATGTGCGTATCTAAATAGAATTTACAAAATTAACGCAATTAAAATGTATATAATATAATATTCACTTTTTATAAATTTTTTTCTCTTGACGTTTCAGTGATAAAGAGTTCTTCGAGAGCTCCATGTTTTAGCGCACAGATGTGTCTCTCTACGAGAGATGCGTTGCTCTTACCATCTCTTATTCCAAGGTTATGCAAATTTTTTCGTAATGTGTCGGACATTACAATCGCGGATATTGGAATGTAGCCGAACGAGGAAGTTTCAATCACTTTTTTCAAGTGGTTCGAAAACGCGTGATATTGTGAAAGTGAAAGTTTGTCACGCGAGCTTTCGACTGGACATGAAGGACAGAGGGATTAACCTAGAATATAAAAAAAATACGAATATCTAATCATATATAAAATGTAAATAAGATACAGATGTTTCATATTGATAGGATATCACAACTTATAATTTACAATGATTCCTATCACATCGCACGTATATTCTGGAGTTTATACTATTTTATTTTGCCCTTCGCTTGATTGGATTTGAATAGTGTTTGATAATTGTCGGTATATTAAAATTATTGAAAACGTAATTTGAAAGATTTCAAAATTATTTTGTAAATGAATATTATGTAAGTGCTTGTAAATTATATTTTTACTCATTATACACAGAGCTACATTTAATCTTTACGATACACCATGTTCCGTCCACTATTATCTCAGAATTTCACATCACTATCTAGAAGAATATCGTTTAGAAATGAATATAGGCAAATCCATCATACGTAAGTATTTTATATAAGAAAAAGCTGTGCCATTGTTTAAGATATCTTAAATTTATCACATTAGTTGCAAAATCTTGGTGGTTGGAGGTGGTACTGCCGGCTGCTCAATGGCTGCAAAGCTATCAAGAAAAATTGATGGACCAAGCCAAGTTATTGTGCTGGAACCCAATGATGTTAAAAAAATTTAAATTTACATTGTACATTTATATATAAAATATGTATATTTCATTAATAAATTATCTTTTCAGGTTCATTACTATCAACCCTTGTTTACTTTAGTCGGTGGTGGCATTAGTTCTTTTAAGTCATCAAGGAGGTATATGAAAAATGTTCTGCCAAAGAAAGCAAAATGGCTAAAAGCTTCTGTTGTCGAATTTCAACCAGACGTCAATAAAGTATTGACACATCACGGAGATACAATACAATATGACATTATGATTGTTGCATTAGGCTTGCAATTATATTGGGATAAAGTATGATATAGTAAAATAGTACTACTATACATTGTATTGGTACTGAACTGGATTCATACAATGATAAAAATATTTTTGATAGATTCCAGGTTTAACGGAGAGCTTATATGATCCCAATGCACAAGTTGGCTCTATTTATGGGCCTGATACTGTATCCCAAGTTTTTGGGAAAATTAAAAAGATTGAATCAGGAACTGCAATATTTACGTTTCCAAATACACCGGTCAAATGCCCTGGTGCTCCACAAAAAATCGCTTACATTGCCGAGGACTATTTTCGCAAGGTATATCTCTGAAATTATTATAATTTGCTAATTTACAAGAAGAATTTTTATTTATTATATTAACTAATAATCATTTATTATACTTAAAGCACAACTTGCGTAACAATATTGACGTTGTGTATAATACGGCATTGCCGGTTATATTCGGAGTAAAAAAATATGCCGATTCCCTCTGGAATGTTTGTAAGGAGAGAGACATTAGTATTAATCTTCAAACAAATCTGGTGAAGATAGACTCAAACAAAAAACAAGCCACATTTGAGAAACTAAACTCACCAGGAGAAATATCAGTGCAAGATGTATGTTTTTTATTCTAAGTAAAAGTAAAATTTGTTTGACTATATATTGTGATAAAATTGAATATTTTTTATTATTGTACTAGTACTCTTTTCTCCATGTAACGCCTCCAATGGGACCTCCTGCAGTTTTGAAGGAACATCCGATATTGACTAATGAAGCTGGATTTCTTTGTGTTGATCCGAAAACACTCCGACACACAAGATACCCAAATATATTTGGTATAGGTGATTGTACAAACACTCCGAATTCTAAGACAATGGCTGCAATAGGTAAAATAATATTATATAAATCTATATATAAAGATTATATATAATAGCTTAAATATACAATATTTGTTAACAGCTGCACAAGGAAAGGTGTTATATCAGAATATCATGGATGATTTAGCTGGTAAACCAATGACGATGGTTTACGATGGTTATGCATCATGTCCCTTGGTTACTGGTTACGGCAAATGCATTCTGGCAGAGTTTGACTATAATTTGCAACCTATGGAGACTTTTCCAGTGAATCAAGGCAAAGAATTCTATTTTATGTTTTGGTTGAAGAAATATATCTTCCCTTTTATATACTGGCACTTGATGTTGAGGTGAGATTAATTTATATAAATAAACAATGATATTGCAAATATATAAACGCATAATTTTACATTAATTTATGCTATTAATATTTTATAGGGGTTATTGGAACGGACCAGAATTCTTCCGCAAGTTTACAAAGCTCTTAAAAAGAGATTAGTGCTCAAAGTAATAAGAAATTCAAGAAAGATAAGCCCAGTGCTTTTTTCTACAATAGAATAAAATAGTATAGCTTTATGATTTTAACATTTTTTGTCATATGTATATATGTAGGTAATTCCCTTTTTATTTATTTCTCGTATAAAATTCCACATATGTAATGAAATTTAACAATGTATATAGAAAATTTATTATTTCGAAGGAATATGTAAATGAAAGATTTTTACACATGCGCAGATTTTTCACACTATATGAGAATATTGTTCTAGGGAAGTTTACAGTTAGGCATTTTTCAGCACTGCTGGACACGTCAAAATTAGTCGAGTTCAGTGTTTAGTTTGACAAGAATTTAACGTAAACATGGATGGTCAATTATTGGTAGGTTTTTAAAATAAATCTTCACTGATTTTACAGTTATAAAACCTTGTAGCATATATTTATGATAAAAATATTGATATATTAGTATTTGCGTTTCTCTCTAGCACAATAAATATTTGAACTTTATGCAACATAACCTAATGGCATATTAAGTGGCACATTTTATTATAAAACCGGGAGAACAATATAAAAAAAAAAAGAAATATTTAATTAAAAGTCTAGGTATATATGTGCTGGATAACTTTATAGAGTTTGAAGCACTTTTAACAAAAAGAAAAAAACAAATTTATACAATGAGATTTCTAGCAAATTGTATAGTATATGGATCTTTTCTTTTAAATTTCTATTCTATTTTGTTTCATTTTTTGATTTATTTTTAATGTAAAATAAGGCCGTTAATAATTTGAGACAACACATTAATATTCGAAATCTCATGATTTTATATATTGCACTAGACATATGTGTTATGTGTGAATATATGCGTAATCTTATTTTGTGTTATTTATTACAAGTTAAAGAGATGTTGAAAATTGATCTAGGAACCTACATTGTACACGGTCAAAGGAATGGCTATTCTCGACAATGATGGCAACAGAATTCTGGCAAAGTATTATGACAAGAATGTATTTCCAACGCCAAAAGAGCAAAAAACCTTTGAGAAGAATCTGTTTAGTAAAACACACAGAGCCATGGGCAGTTCGCATGAAAATGAGGTTTGTATAATTGTTAAATATCTTAAGACTATCACAATTATATACCTAACATATTGGGCTTGTTTCAGTTGATTCTTATGAGTGTCCTCAACTGCTTGTACGACTCTGTCAGTCAGATTCTCCGCAAGAATGTCGAGAAGAGAGCAGTATTGGACAGTTTGGACATAGTAATGCTAGCAATGGATGAGATTTGTGACGGCGGGTAAATAGAACATTGTTTACTTAACAAATTTTGAAGTGATATAATAAAATCGAAGATTATCTTTTCAGTATAATTCTGGATGCGGACGCGTCAAGTGTAGTGCAGAGGGTAGCATTGCGAACGGATGACATTCCACTTGGGGAACAAACAGTAGCACAGGTATATATTTTAATTTATACCATTTTTATTTTAAATTGAAAGCTATACTTTTGATTTATATATAACATAAATTGTCTTTTTTCAATGTTTCAGGTATTGCAATCGGCGAAGGAACAACTTAAGTGGTCATTATTAAAATAAGTATCTTCTTTTTATATATAATTCTCTCGCATAGATATCTGCATGTACACATACATCATAAAAGTTATTATTATTATTATTATCGTACAAAATAAAACAATTTAATGAAAATATCTATAAGAAATTTAATTTAGCTTATATTGTGTGATTATCTCGTTTGTCTAATTATTCTTTTTCCTGAATACAGTGCTCCTGTTCCATGCCCAAGTACCGAAACCTGTTCTAATCTAACTTTGGATGTGAAGAGAAACGAAATAACGAAATCTACTTTATCCATAGTAAATGCAGATTTTCTTATCATAAATTGGTAAATGCCTAAATCGTACTTTTGATATAATTTTTCCTCGTTAGATGACGCTTTATGTTTTTTAAAATACAAGCTATAGCATTGAGAGGTTAATTTTATCTTGGTTTGAAAACATTGAAACATTTGCAGAATATGCCATCTCTGTGTATATGTATACGTGAGTTTAAAATATTATTATCTTTGGATTATATATATGCTTAAATATACATAATACATATTGCGTATAACATTGTGGATATTTATAATTTTTTTCAAGTTGATCTCCCCATGCTATAGACACGGGAAATCGTATATTACATGTTAGGAATAAAAATTTACGAGGCTTATTTTTGCGCAATTATATTATCGAGATTGCGAATTTATTGAAATTATATCTGCTTCAATCCTCGCGCGTATCTCTAATGAAGCCTGGACGATGCTGCTGAGCCCCTCGTCCACGACGCCCGCACGAACTTTTTATACGGCCTCCACCATCTCAGCGCCCACCGCCCCCCAGGGAAATTCAGCGTTCGAGAGTGGCCGACGAGGAAGCAGAGAGCGGCGAGGGAGAGAAGAGGAGGGAGCGACATAGGAAGAGGGTGGATAGAGGGTTAGTGACGCGCGCGCGACTTCGCGGAAGAGCATCGGCGCGGGATACCATCCTCCGTTTATTCGACGTCACGTGACGAGACCCGTGGACGACCCGTTTCGATCGCGTCCGTTGGTTACTCTTTCATCAGCCTCCTCCGCGCTGGGAATTTTAAATTTGATTACAAACTGCCCGAACGCGCGCCACACGTCCTCCCTCTCCTTCGCCGGGGAGGGTTTCCGCGTTTCCTCGTCCTCTCCCCCTCCTCATTCTCATCCTCCTGCTACTCTCCTGCTCTCTTTCGCCTCCGTCGTCGCTCCTGTGCCGCTCTCTCTCTCTCTCGCGCTCGCGATCCGATGAAAAACTCTTCGTCGCTCGATCGCGACGGAATTATTGGCCGGCCGGCTTTATTTATAGCATTCATTTTCCTGGAAATCGCGGCGCAATCCGTTGCCCGCCGACGTCAGCCATTTTTCTCTCTCTTTTTCTCATCTCTTTCTCATTTCGCTAATTGCTTACTTATTCTGCGCTTGTGATTTTACCGTTATTAATGATATCTATTCCCGATTGCCTAATTAAAATTATATCACCATCGATGGTTGGTTCAAAATATTTATATATTATATTTTTCTTACATATCTGTCTGTAATAGACAATTATGTTATTAGTCTATCGTCATTTCTTTTTCCATACATCGTATAATATTCTGATGGAATATATTTTTCACAGAATAGGCAATAATCTTTATACTAATCTTTCGCATCAGATTGTTATACTATTTCTTATATAACTATAGAGATCCTTTACAGAAAACAGGAGATTTTTTGATAAATAATTGATTACGCGTTATATATACTTAAAAACGATCTCATATTAAAATTATTTTAGAAATTGAGATAATATAAGAAAATGAATATATATTTTCTTGCAATGTCACATATATCCATATATTTTATAAGAAAAAGAATTCTTTTTTTTTTTTATTTTCAGGCAATAAAAATCACACAAAAGGAAGGAAAATGAAAAATGAAATTGGTTGGAAAAAAATACTCATCATTGGAGAAAATCAATGGATATATTGTATGTATATATATTGTTACTTTTCTTTTAATATGTCTCGATTGTTTCTTTTTCAAATGGTTCTAATCTCAATTTTTATTTTTTCTTATAGATTTCTAGAGAAAGAGAGAAAGTTTAAAATTTCTTTTTGTAACCGTTGAGAATTTTGAGTCCCATTAATTTTGGGCGCTTCATTAATTTCTTTATTTCGCTATCGCCTTTTTCCACGCTTTTGTGCAGACTGTCGATACACGATTTACGACCCGTCAAGTGAGGGACGAATAGTACGTTGATAACGACGACACTTTGACGAGAGACAACTTTTTTCCTCCTACTAGCAACGGGGATTAATTTCAGAGCTTTGTGCACGCGTTTTTTTTTGTTTTTTTTTTTTTTTTACTTCTCTCGTCGTGTATTATCTTTAAAATAATAATTTGATGGCGTTGCACAATATTTATAACGCGTTTTTGATACTTTTCAACAAACCAGATAGATTAAAATAAAATGAAAAACGTTTAAATAAATCACTAGCAATTCTCTTTTATTCATTTTAAGTATATTTAAAAGAGAGAAACAGAAAGAAAGCTAGTAAATTCAAAGTAATTAGCTATATTTCAGCAAATTAAATTTAAACATTTAAATGCAATTGCTTTTGCGACACCAGCTTCGATTAAAAGATTGAGTAAAAAACAATTTCCAAGTACGAACACACGAATCGCTTCTAATTAAACAGAGGCCCACGCAATAGTTAACTGATACTTACTTAGTGTGATGCTGGTTAAAGCGTTAGAGTAACGCTTTGATTCACATAAATTACTGGGTGGTCCATTCGGTGGCCAACCGAATTACCGTGTCTAAATGCGTTGGCGTGTATATATCTACCGGCACGGAAAGAGATGTTCTCGTAAATCAATAACCCCGAGACACGAGGTGAGACCCGCACTCGCGACGGCACATGCTCGAGATGTTAAACGCGCCCGTTAAACGGACTCAAATCCGCTCCTAACATCTCGCGCGTCCCGGTGGTGGTCCAGGTGGCTGGCAAAGGCAATTAAACGTATAAACGGCGGGAATTAGCCGCAAGAATTGGTCCAGCGAGAAGCGTTTTCAATGGATCGGCATTGCTTCCCCGGGCATCAGGACCATTTAACACGATGACATCCCATTTACCACCCCCGCACAAAGACTTCCGTAGACACTGCAAAGCCCCAAAAACCCATATGTCAGCACGTGCCGCTGAACGGAGGCTGCTACGATGTGGCGAATCGTTCTCTTTCACTATACGAAGTCGATAGTCGGACCCCCCACCGTATCGATCCGTCGATTTCGTTGATATGCCAGTCGGAAAATTATTCGCACAAATAAACAATTTGTAATTAGTTTTGCTTGACGTTAACATTGTAATGACGAGAGATTTGCAGTGATCAGTTTTATATATATTTATTTTACATAAATCTTTCAATTTTTATGTCGATTTTTTTTCTATATTAAATATTTAAAAATATTCCTCCAGTTTTAATTTTGCAGATCTGAGAAATGATTGCAAATATCAAACCGCGAATGTAAAATATAAAACATGCACAAATATGGAACTTTTATTGTATTGCAATATATTACAGCTACTAATGATAATAATTTATAATGATTTATTGAATTTTATTCGCGAATGAAATTTTAATTTCCGTGTTAACATGAGATTGTTGATGATATCAATACGATGGAAGCAAATAATTATTTCTTTTAAGATTCGAGCAAATTTTGCGGCAAATGGTGATATAAAAAGCGGCAGTAAAAAAAAACACGAAATGATATACTGATGTTTTATGGGAATAACCTGATCTATAAACACTCTATGAACTAGATTTTAGCAATTTTGACCGAAGTGTTAGTAGTTTATGGCTTTCGGAGAAGTCTTCCGGAGTTTGAAAAAAAGATCGTTTACCTTTCGTTTTCTCTGCTTTTGTCTCCCATTGGGTTTTTCTGTACGTACCGATAAGTTTCCTAAAGACGGTTCAGC